TTTTTTTTTTGTTCTTTTTTTTTTATAGTTTGGACCATTTCTCGATTTATGCGTGACATCCTTGCGCAGGGGCCATGCTAATCTTCTCTGTATCGTTCCAATTTTAACGGATGTCCCGAAGGACTGGACATCTGGAATCGTAGCATTCCATTTTCGGAAATTTCCCCTTTTCCCTAGTACTTTTTATATTTTGTGTGCAGTGCGCAAGCTTTAGCACAATACATGTATGCATTGCGCTACATTTTGTGTAAGTTTGCATTGCAATACATTGCGTGACATAACCATGAAGCTATACATTCTGTGAAGTAGCCATGACACACGAGCTTTAACAATGAACCACTTGCAGGGAATGTTAGACTGTAGCAACAAAGGGCAAGAAGGCTGACAGGCCAATGGGCATTTGAACAGGGCCAATGATCGAAGAACAAAAGACCAAGCATGACCATATAGAGCCTGTTGGGACTATCTGGGATTGCTGAGCAAGAGTAAAGCCCAACTAAATACCACAATAAAACACCACCACCCAAGAAACATAAATGTGCAGAAGTGATAACAAAATCGACATGTCCCCTCCCCGAACACCCTATCCAACTCCTCTGGACTAAAATTCCAGCTCAGTTGCACAAGCCCAAAAAGATATGGTTTGGGATGATCAGAAAAGTAACACTCTGGTCTATATGGAAGGAAAGGTGCAGCAGAACCATCGAAGGGATATCAACACCAAGGGAGAAAGTTTGGCCGGACACTAACTAGGACATTAATTCAGGCAGAGATTTTGTGCAAGCGGCAGAAGACAAGACAATCCATGACGGATGATGTGGATCAGCAGCAGAGAACAGTGAAGAAATTTACAAAGATATGGCTGGCAGGCCGCAAGGTAGCAGAAATAAAGGACTTCCGCATATGTTGGAAGGACTGGCACAATTCAGAAGTGGGCCTGAGAAGACAGAGAATCCAGCAAGCTCCATCACAGGCCACACAAGTATCATAGCATACGGCTGTGAACCTACAAGTGCGGAAAAATGTGAAGACTGTCTGTCCCTTGGCTTGTCCCTTTCTCGGAAGCGTAAGTCGGTTGATATTGTTAATTTTGTTTGACTTGCCGGTGGAATAGGAACCGGACTGACGCTCCCCAGAATGGATATGGAGCCAGGGCCATAAGGACCTGCTTTATTAAAAAAATAATAATTAAAAAAAATCGACATGTGCACATTGATGAGGTTGCCTCCCAATGCGTTATGTGCACCCACAAACTCACCCCCAAGGACATACGCTGGCGTGCATGTGGAAATGCACCCATACAAACACACGCATAGTCAACACCGCTTCTCAGGGGTATTGCTCACTCTGGGCGACATGGTGAGTCTTGATCCATCAGTGAAATGCATCCTGGGTCAACACTTGCTAGTGATTGGATATTAACTTCGTAAGCAAAAATGTGTGTGTGTTGTCATGTTCGCTTTACACAACTTCCCAGGGTTCGGCCTCCTCATGAGCCGGTAAAAGCCCAATGAAACAGTCTGGCAAAATTGTGCGGCTCTTTGTGGAGTTGTGCACAGCAAACATGACAACACACACACACAGACACACATTTTTGCTTACAAAGTTAATAGTCCAATAACTAGCAAGTGTTGAGTGCTAGACAAAGATACGAGGTTACTAACCATGTGCTGCATGATAGCAATCAGCTGCTCGAGTACCAAAGTTGTGTGGTTTCCGCCCCTGAACACAGACACAGACCAAAAGGAGCAGTCCTCACAACTCATCAGGATAAATTGCTTGTTGAGGACCCACAGCATCTGTTTAAACATTTCCAACAGTCACGGCGAGAGCATATTCTTCAAAGACGACCTTTCAGTGTGATTCACGTGACAAAAGAACATGACAAAGTGCAAGATATTCAAGTCATATTGATTCTGGTCATTCCACCCAGTGGCATGAGATTTTTACTTGTACCCAGCACTGTACCGCTACGCAAGTGCAAAGCTTCGGATCAGGGGCAACAAAAAAAACTTGAACACTGCACCCCTCAACAAAAGCACCGAGAACACTCCAAACTGCCATAGCAAAGTGCTCGGCTCCCTTGACAGATTCACCATGATGTAGCATCACATGAGCCACAAATTTTCTACAAAGAATCTCTTCCTCTAGAATTCCTAAAATCACCATGGTAACGTCACCTTCCATAACCCAAGTCGCACTCTTGAATGTTCTGTCTACCTGGAGTATCGAACGCCTCTCGAGGACTGAACTTAACTGCAAGAACAGTCCAGAAATTGAACCTGGTTCACCTCAAGACTGTGGACCATACTTGTGGCACATCACGTGCGCGCGAGTTGCGCACGTGCAGCGCATAGAGCACGTACTCGCATGCGCGGACACGTGATGCAGCGCACACCAATAATTAGGGTTGATTAAAGAATTCAGAAAGGGCAGGCTGTGGTGGTCAAATGTGCCCCTCCCTTCTGAAAATTGCACGTGCACAGAAAAATAAAATAAAATTGGGGCCACATCTTACTCCCCATTGGATCCAGTCTCTTTTCCAAAGGGCCCTCAGCAATGCATCAGCAAGGGTCCCTTCTTTCAGCAGAGACATTCATCCAATTCCGACGTCGACATGTGCAGGCCAGCAATATACGCTCTGGATTCAAATTCAGGTCTGTGGCCGAGCCGTTATGGGTTACAACTTACAACGACTTACTACAGTGGCACTCTCTTCTTTTTGTTTTCCTTTTCTTACGTGCAGTGGCCCTAGGGGCCTCGCTCCACTAGTCATCAATTGAACAAAAGACAAAACATATGGCTGGATATGGTTCGATGTTCTAGCAGAAGATTCTTTCTAGTTTTGCATATTTAACGAGTAGTGGAGGGAAGCCCTGAAAATGATGTGCTGAGTTAGTAAGTTGGTAACCGATACCTGCTGAAACACGAATCTACGATTCTACATTATATAGAGTTGGCCTGCTATTTCCCTACCATAAGTCCAATGGCTACCTCTTTCTTGGAGAGGGGACCCCTACTAATTATCTGCACGGGCCTTTCGGATTACCCGAAGGGGTTTTCTGATTTATGTGAAAGGGCACTTTGCTCTCTCTCTCTCTCTCTCTCTCTCTCTCTCTCTCTCTCTCTCTCTCTCTCTCTCTCTCTCACACACACACACACACACACACACACACANTCTCTCTCTCTCTCTCTCTCTCTCTCTCTCTCTCTCTCTCTCTCTCTCTCTCTCTCACACACACACACACACACACACACACACACACACACACACACACGAGTGCCTGTGTATACACACATCATGGCCACTTTTTTTTTCTTTTTCCACGCATCAGCGATGAACGCATTCCGCCCCGCGCACCGCACATTATCACTGCAAGTATGCTGTGGACTAAAAATATATAAGTTTAGACTCTAGAGTTTACACAGAACAAAAATAGTTCGAGTTTGGAACTTCCAATGTATGAGAAGGGGAAAATTATCTGCCACTGCTGGCCTGCCTCTGGTGGTTAGACCATACCCTGCCATCTGAACTTTTGCATTCTTTCCACACTCTGAGTGCGATTCGTTTTTCCTTTTTCTTTTCTTTTCTTTTTGTTTCGAGTTTGATTAGTTTGCAAGGGAGATGAGCAATAGCGAACTTCAGCAATCAAACAACATCATACACATGAGACCAGATAGTTGTGACCTCGAACCAAAAGCAGAATTGCATCACGAGTTTCACCAAATAAGAGCACACCAAAAGCTCATAAGTGACAATGCTGGAATAGTCTCATCA